TGAAAATGCTCTGAGGCGCCGAGTCCGAGGCTATAGGGACATCTGCCCCCGAGGCTGCAGGAGGAGGTTGAATTGGCGGCTGCTGAGAAGAGGCCGGAGAAGAGGCTGGCAATGCATCGGCCGAATGAACAGACACCGCGGTAGAAGGGGCTGTGCTGCGGCCGGCTTCGGCGGCTACCTTCTGAAGCAGCTCTTGCTTCTCGTCCTCGTTGAGCGTCGCCAGCCATGGGCCGAAAGCTGCACCGAACTGCTCCATGATGGGCTGAGATGAGAAGGCGAGTGCTGACTATTGCTGGATATCAGAAATGGCTGTGCCAAGGCAAGTAAGGGCAAGTGGGAGCTGCATTGTCTGGCTGCTGAAACTGGCTGCAAGAAAGTCCTCGAGGCTGGCGTCAGGAGGCGCAGTCGTAGGCCGAGGGAGGCTGACCTGATGCGAGGCGGAAGCTATTATGCAAGTGGTATTGTGAGGCCAAAGGCTTGGGCTTGCGGCACTTTTCCCTCGGAGGCTGAAGGCTAGTCGTCTAATGGGCGAATACAAATTTCAATGCGCCATCCTTGAGCCCGTATCTTGGCTTTGGCCTTCACAGCTGGAACCGAGGCTGATGGCGAAGAGACCACCCCAGTGGTTATCGTGGGCGGAGAAGTAAGCGGGACCGGAGGGGCGATTGAAGTCGTAGACGTAGGCATAGTGGGTGGCATAAAGGCTGGTGTTGGCGGAGGCGGTCCCGATGCAGTCGTATTCACGGTAGTAGGCAGAGGCGTAGGAGATCGGCTTCGAGTAGGCTCATTGATTGGCCTGGGCGGAGGCGGTCCGTTGAGGGGAACCCGCGCGCCCATAGGCCCAGAGGGGCCGGAGGTGTGAGACGTTCCTCCGGCTTCGGCTTCTGATTCGCCTTCCAAGAACTGCTCGATGTCGCTAGACAAGGATGAGTCCTCCGTGGCTGATACTTTGGCTTTGGCGCTGGCCCCGCGGCTATGCCCTGGAGACGGCGAGGCTGGCTTGGTCTTGCGGCGAGGGGCCATAGGCTGAGGCTAGGGTGACAACTCTGGAATGTCGACTTTGAGCAAACAGAAACTCGCGCTGAAGAGGCTTGCTGCAAAGCGACAAAGCAAGACTGCTGCATGAGGCCGAGGCTGAATCGCTGAGGCCGACCTGGGTGCGAACTAAGGGCTTACGTCGCACAGGCTGAGTTGTGCCGAAGTACAGATGTTCGCAGAGGCTCACGGAGGCAAGAGGTGTCGCTTGGCGAGGCTTGAAGAAAGAGGCTAGGCTGGTTCAGGCTTCATTGTCCGAAGCCTCCCAGTCCGGTCCCTGGTAATTAGGCCTATCCAAAGCGGCTGTTGAAAAATAGGCTGCCCAGTGAGGCCAAGACTGTTGCAAGGCCGTGAGCAGGTTTTCGAGGCGAGTGAAAGTGAGATTAAGTCGGCTCCTGATCAGGTCCATCTTCGCAGACATAAAAGCCCACGGCGATATGAGGCTGCGGAGGCGTTGGCTATCTCTTGCGGCTCTGTGGTAGTGCCACAAGGCTTGCTGTGCGCCTGAGCGCTCGGCTTCTAATATGCGTACACGTAGGTCGAGGCTTTGAAGTCGGCGAT